CTCGGACCAATGGAAAGTTTCATCCCCGCTGCGCCGGGTAAACATTAATCGGGCTCCAGGGTTATCTATTCGATACTCGAGGAAAGCTGCACGATCCGTAAGAAGTTTTCCTTGCAACGGGCCGCGACTCATAAATAACGCGAGATGAAATGTAAACGAAATCGCGTATAATGCATATAATACGACTGGGAAAAGTTCAAAGTAGCGAGATTCTTTGGGAGAACGCGGAGATGCGTTGAATCCGAGCGACTCTTCGTCGCAGATGAAATTTCCAATTTCGCCTACTCGCGTTTAGGCCCGTAAACGAGTTCATTCGCGCGTCGTCGCGCTTCAATGTCCGTTCGTCTGGAAGTCGTAATTAATTCCGCGGAAAAATGTCCACGGTGCGTTATAAACTCGAGAGCGTCGCGACGCTGACGGCTTTGCTCCAGAGGAATTTCATTAGGAAGAAAATTATGCGAGCAAGGGTACCGCGGCACCTTGCCTGCACGCGTCACCTGCTAATCCTAATTGGCAAGAGTGGTAAGAAGGAACGAAATCGAGCTATCGAAATTCTGCATCGAGCTTTGCTCGTGCTCGACCTTTCAAGCTTAAAGACGCATCTGAAAGTCTATTTCCGTGGGAATTCTTCGTTTTCTTCAAAGTCGACTTTGCTAGCTCGACGTCGAATAACCCACGCGCTTCGGTTAGGTTCTCTCTTTGTCCTTGGCCGATGCAAATATCGCGAGACGCGGAAGTCTGTTAATTTTATTCAGCGAAATATGCGTTTAAACATACATCAAAGAGCCTGATTGCTAGCGGTTAGTTTACATCGATGACACATTTCTCGTTTTATTAAATTTCGTTCCCGAGTCTCGTCCTTTCCCCACGGAGATCGGGCCATTATAGGCCTCTGTTGCGAAACCACGTATTTCTTTGGAAAGCTATACTCGATTTCGAGAAACCTCGAGGAATTTGTTTAACCGTGCAGCTTGCTTTCGGATCAAAGGGAAATTAAAGGCGAAGGAAGTTGGATCCTTCGGGAATATTTCTCTCGTCGTCGAGCTCGCGGGAATTAAAATCGCGAGATGATCGCAGCTCGAGTAGCTCGATCTCGCTGAACGCCGCGAATATTCCCGGAAATAGATGACGCTCGAACGAGTCGAAATTTGGAATTCGATTGAATCCGTTCGCTGATAGTTATTTCCGTTTAACTAGTATTCCGAGCATCTCGCTAATTATAGGCCCTGGTGGGGCAAGGACGCGAGGAATGAACGGGTGAGACAGGGAGAACGATATCGTAATAGCTCTTTGAGATAGCATCTGTCAACGATTACGCGAGTCGGGGTGACAAGCCAATCGAGTCGACTTACACTCGACGAATACACCTTTAACCACGTGCGCTGGAAAGACGTGCCACGCGCTTTTGTCCCGGAATCGCCAACGACGTGGTGTACACGTCATCGGACAATTGTCACAGAAACACTGGAAGTTCTGATACACGCGTCCGTGAATTTCTTGCCAGCGCAAGTGGTTAAGAGAATTGACTCACTGGCGATCAGGAGCTCGCAGTTTTACATTCGAGGGGCCGATCGTCTTTTGTCCTCGCAGGGGGGCACGCGTCGCGAAACCTCTAGATGGTCCTGGTCTTTCCAGAACCCCGATCCGTGACAGTGTCCCTGCGTCTTGGCACGTGTGTACCCGATAGTCTATTTTCTTTGTCAGGGGTACGCGTCGCGGAACGTTCGCGATAGTTCCGATTTTTCTAGAACTGTGCATCCGCTACACGTACCCCTGCGCGATTCGTCACTGGCCATCGAACGCTCTAGACCTTTCGTGGTTACCTTATCGCGGGATTGAGGATTTTGGAACGAATTTTCGTCGAATGTTTCAGGGTACTGGCCGTTCGGAGTGCTTTGGTGTAACGTGTACGTGACGTGCGACGTGCTGGCCTGCTCGGCGAGCATAATGCACATGTGCTTCATCTCGCTGGGCCGATATCTGGGCATCCGGAACCCGCTGAGGACGCGACACACGTCCACTAAGCGTATGGTGGGCTTCAAGATTGCGGCCGTGTGGTTGCTGGCCATGCTGGTCTCCAGTTCGATCACCGTCTTGGGTAAAGTAACCTGGGACTTGGGAGATCAGCACCCTTCCAGGACACCTTATTTCCAAATATTTCCGCGAGATCCCTTTCAGTCTGAATTTCGTACGTTCGTTTATTCATTGATCGCGAAACGATACGAGATTACGTCCTCCATGCAATCTATACCGTGTCTTCGTCCGGTTAATTCATTGGAACGATCGTGGAAGTTCCCTTTCGAGAGAAAGATCATGGAGGAAGAACGTAAACCGGATGGGAGGAATCGGTTTCCTTTAAGCTCCGCGACGAGTGCCAGGATAAACGGGAAAGTTGTACGCGAGCCCGACTTCTTGCCATTCTATTCGATGAAAGCTGCTCGATATTCGAAACTATCCGGAATACGGTGCAACCGGGACACGGTTCGGTCGATAAACGATTACGGTGCTGCCCACCGGATGTTCATTTTTTCAGCAGCCGCGAAATGGGCGTAAAAATTGGCTCGCATTGCATCCACGCGGTTGCAACGGAACATTTTGCATTCCGTTTGCATTCCATTTCCATCGTCCACCGAAAACGCGACTCTATAACCCGGCCTTTGACCCGTTTCCGCAACACGCGAACGATCGCGTGGGTAAATAATCTGTGCCGTTACCGAGGATTAACGACAGACCATCGATATCGCGTTACTTATTTATTCATTAGGTTAACGAGCAGGAGCCCATTTGCGCGTGTGTAGGATAGAGTCGCAGTTGGTACCAAAAGCAGATGACAGGACGATCGAGCGTATTTAATTCTTTGGGGCACTGTGGGATTAAAAGTGTCCCACCTTCTTCATGCATCGTGTAAATAATAAAATTTCTATGCAACGTGGGTCTATTTTACTACCTGAAATTCTGTGCCGTAAAGAGTTAACGCGTTAAACGCCACGCTGGTTTTACGTGCCCTTCCGTTCGCGCCACAGTCAGCCGCCATGCGGGCCCTTTCGGGCCGTACGGACCGGCGATGCCTGAACGGAAAGCCTAGCGCCAGGCGCTACAGACCGGCGTGGCGTTTAACGCGTTAACCCTTTGTGAACGGAGCGGATTTGAGTAAACGTAGGGCTGTCGCTACCGCGATAGTCATTCAAAACTACCAGCGCTCATTTCTGCTTAATCTCTTGACTACCGTGGGCGCCTATGGGCGTTTAGAAATCTTAAGTTTGTGACATGGAGGACACCTATAGGCGTTTTTTGCGTAGTTTAGCTTTCTGACACGGAGGGCGCTCGTTTTCACAAAAATGGCGCACATCGTCTTTCAACTCTTGTCGTATGGTATGTTCGCTACGTATCAAAATCGGCCGTAGTCAAGGAGTTAAACGCGATTTTCGTTCATAACGACGCTGGTAATAAGGACATAGAACAGTCCACGACTTAACTTGGCACGTGGGTCCTAGGGCCGCAACAGCGGACGCGTATACGTGTTTCTCGGCCATAGCAACGCGTTTACGTGGGACACGTTTACGAGTCCCTCAGCCCTAGTCGTTTTCGCAGCAAAGGGTTAATCGTTGCGTTTCCGCAGGTATAATAAATCCGTCGAACATCATGCCACGGCCAGGAACGTGCGTGATCAACAACAGAGCGTTCTTCGTGTTCGGTTCGCTAATCGCCTTCTACATCCCCATGATAGTGATGGTGGCCACGTACATCCTGACGGTGCAGCTGCTGAGACAGAAAGCTCGTTTCGTCGCGGAGCATCCGGAACGAGATCAATTTCGACGGCTGGGAGGGAGATACTTCTCGACCAAAGCTTCCTCGACCTCGTCGACCACGGATACCACCGCGCCATCGTCGTCCGCACGGTATACATGGAGGACTTCCGGTGGTGTCGGAAGCGAAAGGTAGACAGCGGTATCTCCGATCTCGCGCGGAATTGTGTTATTTTTTCGCGGATTTCCGGGGAGCAAGCGTTTATCGGCAGTCGAGGATTTCGTTGCAAAGTTGGCGGCAATTAGACGTCGCGGTTGTCGTTTATCCAGCGCGAGCGAATTTCGTCGCAGCCCTTTAATCGTGCCAATTAACCTAATGCTGTTGATGCCAGCGAACGTGATTCAACCGACGCATTAATGGAATTAAAAATCCTCGCTGCTCGTCTCTTATTTCGCCACCCTCTCCCCGCTGTTCTGTTAAATTGCAAGGGTGGAAAGGAAATTGCCGAAACACGAAACAGTGGCGTAATCTTTCGCGAACGTGATCAATTACCTCTAAATATCAGTTTTTAGTTACCACACGCTCGCTTGAATTTTCGCGAATCGACTCAATTTTCCGTCGCTATTTGGTGGCTCGAACCCGACGAAATTTCGCGGAATTTAACCGTGGGTTAGAATCGAATATACCGTTCGATTGGACATTTCGACGACCCTCGCGCTCCCTCGGCGAGAATATAATTTTCCCGATCGCGGCGGAGGAATATCTGATATCGCGTGGTTCGGGGGCAACACGCGTTCGCTTATCCCGAGGAAATTCCCCTTGTATCGCTTAATTACGCCAAGTACAACGTTCCCGCTGCCTGTTCGCTGTCCACGAGGATGGTAACTCGTTGCAATTCGCCACGGCCGGTAACTCGTTGCCGCGAAGCAGCGGTAGTTTTGTAGTTTAACCGAATTAAACGGCGAGGCTGTGTTCCGTTGCAAATATAACAGGTGCAAGGGCGCGAGGCCGGGCAAGTCTGAACCGCAGCTGAATTTCGCGGTGAACGGGGCGAGCAACTCGACCGGAAGCGCGACCGGCACGAAACTGACGTCGAAAGTGGATCAGGCCACACAAACGCCGGAGAACATAGCCCGCGAAACAAGGAACTTCACTCTGAGGGCCCTCAAGTTGCAGCTGAACGTCACGCCCAACACCCTGAACCTCAGGTGAATTTATTTCGCTTTTCACTTTCCGTCCTCGGCTAACCCCGCGGAAATATCACGGAGAACGAACCCGGAACTTCCACAGTTTCCTAGCGAGGTCTGGCACGTGTCTGAAAAGTTTGTAGTTGACAGCGCGTAGGGGCAAAAGGGAAACCTGGTTCGCTATATCCTACTCTACCTGTGGTACTTGTAACCTATCTGATGGGATCTCGGTACGTCGTGTTTTGACGTAGGATAGCGTAGCTATTCTAGAATATCCTGTCTATATTCGGATACCATAGTAGAATCGTAGCGACCATCATTCTCACCCTCGTCACTAGATGGATCCCAACTTAAAGCTTCCTATACATATAACTTCTAGACCTTCCAATATTATCCCTGTCTAAGGCAGGGCCTGCTAGGTAGCCTTACCGATGAGTCCATTAGCAGATCCAGGACGAAACGCGTCACTTCCTTTTCCTTTCGTCCCTTCTAGCATCACCGCCACACGAGAATATCTGTGACTAGTCGACATTCAACAACAGTGTATGGAGGCCCCCTACAGAATTAACCACGTCGACCCT